GGTCCGGGGAGACCGGATATAGTGAATGCGGGGTCCTGGGAGACCGGATATAGTGAATGCGGGGTCCTGGGAGACCGGATATAGTGAATGCGGGGTCCTGGGAGACCGGATATAGTGAATGCGGGGTCCGGGGAGACCGGATATAATGAATGCAGGGTCCGGGGAGACCAGATATAATGAATGCAGGGTCTGGGGAGACCAGATATAGTGAATTCAGGGCCCGGGAGACCAGATATAGCGAATTTAGGGATGGGGAGACCAGATATAGCGAATGCAGGGCCCGGGGAGACCGGATATAGTGAATGCAGGGCCCGGGGAGAGACCGGATATAGCGAATGCAGGGTCCGGGGAGACCGGATATAGCGAATGCAGGGTCCGGGGAGACCGGATATAGCGAATGCAGGGTCCGGGGAGACCAGATATAGCGAATGCAGGGCCCGGGGAGACCAGATATAGCGAATGCAGGGTCCGGGGAGACCAGATATAGCAAATGCGGGGTCCTGGGAGACCGGATATAGTGAATGCGGGGTCCGGGGAGACCGGATATATATGAATGCAGGGTCTGGGGAGACCAGATATAGCGAATTCAGGGCCCGGGGAGACCAGATATAGCGAATGCAGGGCCCGGGGAGACCGGATATAGTGAATGCAGGGCCCGGGGAGACCAGATATAGAGAATGCAGGGTCCGGGGAGACCGGATATAGCGAATGCAGGGTCCGGGGAGACCGGATATAGTGAATGCAGGGTCTGGGGAGAGCGGATATAGTGAATGCAGGGTCCGGGGAGACCGGATATAGTGAATGCAGGGTCCGGGGAGACCAGATATAGTGAATGCAGGGGCCGGGGAGATCGGATATAGTGAATGCAGGGTCCGGGGAGAGCGGATATAGTGAATGCAGGGTCCGGGGAGACCGGATATAGTGAATGCAGGGTCCGGGGAGACCGGATATAGTGAATGCAGGGTCCGGGGAGACCGGATATAGTGAATGCAGGGTCCGGGGAGACCGGATATAGTGAATGCAGGGTCCGGGGAGACCGGATATAGTGAATGCAGGGTCCGGGGAGACCGGATATAGTGAATGCAGGGTCCGGGGAGACCGGATATAGTGAATGCAGGGTCCAGGGAGAGCGGATATAGTGAATGCAGGGTCCAGGGTTTAGGAACACTTTAAGCTTTGCAGAGCTGCACCAGATTTTGCACTCTCCAGTTTTAGTAAATAACCCCCAAAGTTTTTCAGTTTAGTCTCAGATTCATTTAAGATCCAAAGTTTGCTGCAGGCTAGAAATACGAGTCTGAAGTGTTTACCAGATTTATTCCCAGACGGGAGTCTATATTGCGAGCTGACAACAGGAAGTGTACATATTATTCAATATTTTCTCATAAATTGTACAAAACAAAAAAAATGAGCAGGAAAAGAACTTAGCAGCTCCCTATGTCAGCCTGGATGTTGTGGATCGTTATTCCTATAGAAAGAAGTGTGCTTGGCTAGATATAAATATCTGGGAACTCGCTCAAAAAGATGATCTCAAGATGTTTAAAATACGGCCAACTTTTTACTGTACGATTAGTCTAGCATAGAAGAGAAATAAGGCTGAATACAGGAAGAACTCCAGCCAAACCTTTTTCCTAATTGAGGTTCTAATCCTATCCCCGGCGAGTATCTGAGCCAAATTCAGCTACTTAAATTAGTTCCATTTCAAAAATACTTTTATTACTGTGCTGAATTGTCATTTTATGTGTCCTTTAACTGCTTTCCCACCACCCTATAGCAGATATACTGCTACAGGGCAGCAGGGGTGCGCAAAATCACCTCTATATACGTGATTTTGCATCTCCGGGTAGATACCTGGACATTCTCTGCCTTGGCTGTCAATCAATGGGTCCCGGCTGGTGATCCCTCGCCGGCACCCGGTGATCGAAGAACATTACCGACAGAGGGAGAGAACTGTAAGTAAACAACACAGATCTCTCCCATCAGAATTTTAAAATTCGACAATTTTGGGCATTTCTTCCACTTTCAATTTTTTATTGAGGAATTGTCAATTACATTGCATCAAGTGTGGGGTTCTAAAACTGTATCCGAGCACCACAACCTGACAGTGCTATTTACCCCTTGCCCTGCTGAGGATTTCCCCCCTTCCTGACCAGGCCATTTTTTGAGTTATGGCGCTACGTTACTTTAACTGACAATTGCACGGTCATGCAACGCTGCACCCAAATGAAATTTACGTCCTTTTTTCCCACAAATGGAGCGAGCTCTCTTTTGGTGATATTTTATTGCTTCTGAGGTTTTTATTTTTTGCACAATAAGTAAAAAAAGACCAACAATTTTGAAAAAAAAACCCAATATTTTGGACTTTTTGCTATTAAACATGTCCAGCAAAAAAAATCTAATTTCGTCAGAAATTTAGGCCAAAATGTATTCTCCAATGTGTCTTTGCTAAAAAAAAAAAAAAAAAATCCCAAAAAGTGTAAATTAATTGTTTTACGTGACAGTTATAGCGTTTACAAATGGCGGTATAGATAATGGGATTTTTTTTTCTACTAGTAATGTCGGCGATCAGCAACTTTTTGTGGGACTGCACCGGACATTCTGACACTGGGGGGAACTAACTTGGTGTCACTGACATCCCCAGTGACACCAATACAGTGATCAGTGATAAAAAAAAAAGCACTTGACACTGTACTAATGGCACTGGGCAGGAAGGGGTTAATGTGAGGGGCGATCAAAGGGTTATCTGTGCGCTGGGAGTGTTTTACTAGAGGGTGAGGGGGTGTTTTACTAGGGGTAGGAAGGGGGGGGGTCTGCTTCACTGTGAGCACACTGATCGGGATGGCTGTACTGTGCACAGCCATCCCGTGCAGTGTGCCCAAGCTGACAGGGAGGAAGATTGTTTGTAAACAAAACAATGTTCTTCCCTGTCGGAGATGCTCAGTAATCACCGGGCGCCGGCGGGTAATTAGTGGCCGGGACCCGGTGATTGACATGGCGGCACGGGTAGGGCACGTGCCCGATATATATATATATATATATATATATATATATATACACATATATATATATATACACAGACACGTGATTCTGCGCACAGGTGCTGGTCTGAGGCAGTATTTCTGCTATAGGGCGGTCCTTAAGTGGTTAAAGCGGAGTTCCAGCTGAAATAAAAAGTAATAAAAGTCAGCAGCTACAAAAACTGTAGCTGCCGACTTTTAAAATACAGCCACTTAGCTGTCCCTCGGTCCAGCGGTGTCCTCACCATGGCTGGTTTCACCGGCCATCTTCTCTCCCTGGCGCCGGCATCCTTAGTGTGGGCACCCGGCTGTGACAGCTTGCTGCTTTACAGCCGGGTGCCCACTGCGCATGCGCGAGAAGCGCTGCGCTTTGTGAATGGCCTCGTAGTCTTCTGAGACCTGTCACATGTCCCAGAAGACTACAGGGAGAGAGGGAGAGGACAACTTCAGCTTCCAGAGCGGGTACCTGTCAAATTTGGGTACCCGCTACCCCCCAGCTCTCCAAAGGCACCAACCCTTAATGGGGAGTGGGGGACAAAGACTTAAAGCGGAACTTCCCCTTTTGGGTGGAGCTTCGCTTTAATTATTTTTTAATGTTTTTAAAAGTAAACTCCCCCATCCATCCTATTTTGCTAAGAAATCACTTTTAAAAACACCCCCTTGCATTTCTAGCTGCGGCCATTATGAGTATGGGCAGATGATTTGTGTAGCATTTACTTCCTGGAATCCATCTGCCCTTAGCTCAGGCATGCAGGCAAAGCAGCTGAAAAAGCCCCTGCTCTTGATTAATGGGAAATAATGCCCATGAAGACTCCTGGGATGTATGACAATTTTTTTTTGCCTAGGCCAAAAACCAGGAAGCGTCTGAAGAAATGTAAAAAACAAACAAACAAAAAAGAAACGAAAACAATTAAATATAATATACCTTCTTAGCCATTTACTAATGATAGCAGCCCAATGATTAGAAATAGTTAATATTGATTGAGAGAGTGAAGTTCCGCTTTTAAATAAAAGGTCGCCTGGGATGACTCTAGGGAGTGTTATGGGGTGGAGTTGCTAGTAGCCAACAGCAGAAATGGGGATCTTGGCTTTGTTTTTCTTTTAATCCAATCAAGATAAAAGTTTTAGGGAAACACAATGCTCCAGTGTACTCAATTAGTTCTCCAATATATTTCCTTTTTCACTCAAACTGTAATCCCATTGTTGGCATACATAACAGCAATAATAAGCGAGCCGCAAGTCATAACCTCGGGACGTTCTGTGAATTATTCACAACAACTGGCGTCAACTACTGAAAACCTTGTGCTTGGAGATCCGTGGTAAACCGGCCATTTACATCAAGATTACTCGCCAGTAAGGCAGGATACAGCTGCTTATCTGAATTCTATTCATCACTCATGTGATCGGCATCCTCTGCCAATCGCTGACCACTTTTCTCAACCTCTAGGTTTTGTATTATGCAACCCAAAAAAAAATGTTTTCTACTAAAATGCAAAAAAACAAATAACGACGCATGACAAATTGATATAATACCTCTTGGATGTGAGCCGCGACAGCTGCCTTGGTGTCGAAATTCAAGTCTTGTATTTTATCAATAAACTCTTCCTTTCTTGCACACTGAAAAAAAAATAAGCAATCTCATTTAGAGTGCATTGAATGTAAAATACATTGTTGTGATGATTCTGCCGACATAAACCCGGAGAACATGAGGAATATGATGGTGTTGCTTTTACGGAATGCAAATCTGGGCTGCTTTGAAGAGGATACAGCAGCATAATAATTTATATTATTTATATATATATACATACACACACATTATATATATATATATATAATATATAGACACACACTATATTGCCCAAAGTATTGCGATGTCTGCCTTTCCACGCACATGAACTTTAGGCATCCCAGTCTTAGTCCGTAGGGTTCAATGTTGAGTTGGCCCCGCCCTTTGCAGCTATAACAGCTTCAACTCTTCTGGGAAGGCCGTCCACAAGGTTTAGGAGGGTGTCTATGGGAAGGTTGGACCATTCTTCCAGAAGCACATTTGTGAGGTCAGGCACTGATGTCGGGGGAGGAGGCCTGGCTCGCAGTCTCTAATTGCTCTAATTCATCTCAGAGGTGTTCTGTGAGGTTGAGGTCAGGACTCTGTGCAGGCCAGTCAAGTTCCTCCACTCCAAACTGGCTCCTCCATGTCTTTATGGACTTTGCTTTGTGCACTGGTGCGCAGTCATGTTGGAACAGGAAGGGGCCATCCCCAAACTCTTCCCACAAAGTTGGGAGCAAGAAATTGTCCAAAATGTCTTGGTATGCTGACGCCTTAATAGTTCCCTTCACTGGAACTAGGGGGCCAAGCCCAACCCCAGAAAAACAACCCCACACCATAATCCCCCCTCCACCAAACTTTACACTTAGCACAATGCAGTCAGGCAAGTACCGTTCTCCTGGCAACCGCCAAACCCAGACATGTCCATCGGATTGCCAGACAGAGAAGCGTGATTGGTCACTCTAGAGGACACGTCAACACTGCTCTAGAGTCCAGTGGTGGCATGCTTTACACCACTATATCCGATGCTTTGCATTGTACTTGGTGATGTAAGGCTTGAATGCAGCAGCTCGGCCGTGCTGAAGGCCACACTAAGTTTGGAGGTCTTTAGCTATTGATTCTGCAGACAGTTGGCGACTTCTGCGCACTGTGCGCTTCACAATGCGCTGACCCCACTCTGTCATGTGACGTGGCCTACCACTTGGTGGCTGAGTTGCTGTTCCCAGTTGCTTCCACTTTGTTATAATCCCACTAACAGTTGACCGTGGAATATTTAGTAGCCAGGAAATCACGGGACCACGCTTGGAGACACTGAGCTCCTGAGAGCGACCCCCTTTTGCCTTCAGACCTGCCTTAATTCTTTGTGGCATAGATTCAACAAGGTGTTGGGAACATTTTTCAGAGATTTTGGTCCATAGTGACATGAGCTACTGTTACCTTTATATCATCTGGAACCAGTCTGCCCATTCTCCTCTGACATCAACAAAGCATTTTCCTCCACACAAATGCCACTCACTGGATATTTTCTCTTTTTCTGACCATTCTCTGTAAAATCTAGAGATGGCTGTGCGTGAAAATCTCAGTAGATAAGCAGTTTTTTAAATACTCAGACCAGCCCGTCTGGCACCAAAAACCATGCCACGTTCAAAGTTACTTAAATCCGATTTCTCCCCCATTCTGATGCTCGGTTTGAACTTCAGCAAGTTGTCTTCACCACATCTAGATGCCTAAATGCATTGAGTTAGTTGCTGCCATGTGATTGGCTGACTAGCAATTTGTGTTCCCAAGCAATTGAACAAGTGTACCCAATCAAGTGGCCGGTGAGTGTATATATTAAAAAAAAAAATAAAAAAAATATACATATATACACACACACATATATATATATATATATATATATATATATATATATATATATATATATATATATATATATATATATATATATATATATATAAAAATTTAATTTTTTTTTATTTTTTATTTTTGGATGAAATAAGAAATATGTTAAAACACCTAACTTTTTTTCCTAGGGAATGATGTGAAATCCCTGCTTAGACAGTTGTCACCAGAATAGGTGTCCCCATTGGAAAAATTCATCCTTTCCTTCAATTCTGGTGACAGATACAAAATTTTGGATTTACAGTCATTGTCTTTCCTAGTGACTATAGTAGTCCAAAATAGAGAGATAATCCCCCTATCTGGGCCATTAATAGCAATAAAAACCAACAGTGGTGCTAACCCAGGGGCGGACTGACCATTTGGAAACTCGGGCACTGCCCGAGGGCCCGGGGTCAGTAGGGGGCCCCATGAGATGCCCCTGATACCTTTTTCATAGGCTTTTGAGTTTGGGCAAGGACACAGGGGCCCCATGATCCCCTATTGCCTGGGGGCCCCATGAATTGTCAGTCCGACCCTGTGCTAACCCTTTCCTACGCCATCCAAAACTACAAAAGAGTCAGTGTGGTCTGGTGGGGCAGCAGTGCAGGATAAGGGCAGCTGAAGTTTGGAGCCCTTGATGGAACTCTGAACAATTATATATTGCCTGTGGCTTCCGGTAGGGCGCTATACAGGTCCAGGGCAGGGGAACCCAGTCAGGGGATCGTGTCCCTGAAGGCACTCTGGACACAGCCCGGCATGATGAGTGGTTGCGGCACTGGCACTGGTGGTAAGGGCACTTCCCTACTCCATCCAAAACTACAAACATGCATTCCGATCAACTTTAAATTTACAAAAATTGAGTTAACTAGCATGAGGACTGTGATTTACCTGAACTGCACAGCCCAGCATAAGCAGCAACATCTTCTTCATCTCTTCCGTACCTTGCTCTGGTAGAAAAAAAAAACAAAAAGTAAAATAAAAATATATGTACTTGGTAGAAATCCAAACCATTATTGTATCATCACAATTGTATTTTAGCTGCGCTCTGCACTTTACTTAACTTTCCTAACTTACTAAAATCTGCTGGACTAAGCACAGGGGAGATCGACTGCCGGATGTTTAATCACCTTCATAATGCTGGATGTTAAATCAATTTTGGCAGAAACTGTGTCATCTGCTTTCATAATCAGAACCCCAGTCTGGCCGGCAATGATGTCCTCGAAAGTATCCTATCACAGGGTTAACCAGCAAATAGGAAAGGGAAATGGAATCAGGGCTACCAAACAAACAACAGAATCCTCAAAAGCTTCCATCCCAAGACTGGATCCAATAAATTATAGCAGAAAAGAAGAATGGGGGGGGGGGGGGGGGGGGGGGGGGGGGGGGGGGGGGGGGGGGGGGGGGGGGGGGGGGGGGGGGGGGGACAGGACTTCATGTAACAATGAGGAAACACTCCAAAAGTGCTGATATATTAAAAACAAAAAAGTATAAAAATGTTATTAATACATCCAATAAATATTAGTGGTTTTAAAAACATGGTACTAGATACAGTGTATTCATAAAGTATTCAGACCCCCTTCACTTTTTTTAATTGTTGCAGCCTGATACTACAGGTCTTTAAACCACTCACCCTCCACAGGATTTACCCCCCCCCCCCCTCCTAACCAGGCCATTTTTTGTGATACGGCACTGTGTTACTTTAATTGACAATTGCGCGGTCATGCAACGCTGCACCCAAATGAAATTTATGTCCTTTTTTGCCACAAATGGAGCTATCTTTTGGTGGTATTTGATCACTACTGAGGTTTTTGTTTATTGCGTTATAAACAAAAAAAAAAACCTGACAATTGGGGAAAAAACTATATTTTTTACTTTTTGCTATTAAGCATGCCTAGTAAAATTTTTTTTAAAAAAAATCAAATTTCGTTTAAATTTAGGTCAAAATGTATTCTGCTCCATATCTTTGCTAAAAAAAAAAAAACACAATACGTGTAAATTAATTGGTTTACATGAACCTACAAATGGCAGTATATATAATGGAATTTTTTATTTTTTTATTTTTATACTAATAATGGCGACGATCAGCAACTTATAGCGGGACTGCGTCAGGCATTATGACACTGGAGGGGATCTGACTGTCACCGACATCTGGTGCCTCCCATTTCTCTTGATCATTGGTGAGATGTTTCTACGCCTTGATTGGAGCCCAGCTGGGTTAAATTACATTGGTTGGACATGATTTGGAAAGGCACACACCCCTCTATAAAAGTCCTCACAGCTGACATTGCATACTGTATCAGAGCAAGAGCCATGAGGTCAAAAGGAACTGCCTGCAGAGCTCAGAGACAGGATTATTGCAAGGCACGAATCTGGGGAAGGCTACAAAAAACTTTCTTCTTTTTTGAAGGTTCCCATATTTCAGTTTTTCCTTTTTCATAAATTTGCAAACATTTCTGAAATTCTGTTTTCACGTTGTCATTATGCGGTACTGAGTGTAGATTAATGAGAAAAAAAAATGAATTTAAACAACTGTACTATCAGACTGCAACATAATAAAATAGAAAAAAAGGAAAGGGGGTCTGAATACTTTATGAATGCACTGTATATACAGTACATGGGACCATATGTGTCTATACACATAACAAGCTTTAGTCAGCTATGTGTTTCAACACCCATTATCAATGCGTTTTGTAGTCGTGTTCCAATCATGCAATGATTTGTGTATTTATGTTATACATTTATTTTATTGTATGACTCTGTGTCAGACTTCCAATTCAACCATATTATGTGATCATACCAACAACCCAGTCCTAGAGAAGAGGAACATGACCCTGAAATGCGTCAGCACAGCCACAAGAAACCGCATCGGCTGCTGAACATTTTGATACTGGGATGATGACTGTACCTGCAAGTATCATCCCATCGTATCCAATAAAACCTGGCGACGTCATAAGATGTCCATCCAGAGGAAAGTGGTTAAAAGTCCCTCTACTTTTCTGCTACAATTTACCTATTGTTATGACAGATAGGTTTGGTATATCCTGTTCACACTTGCACACTGTATTAGGCAGGACATTTCGCTCTGACTTCTCCAATCGTATATTTGTTGGATTATTTTCGGCAGTAAATGGGATGGTCTAAAGGCCTACCCAGCAACCAGCACATATGTAAGGCTGACCATACATGGTTCGGTTTTTTTGTTCAGCCAGCGGGCTGAATGAAAAGACAGATTCCTCCATCTATACCAGTAGTGTCCAAACTGTGGCCCAGGGGCTGGTTGATTTTCTTTTATCCAGCCCTTGGGACTCTATTCCTCCAATTAACACCAATGATGGAGCACCATTCCTCCCAGTGGCACCATCGAAGGGACACTATCCATCCCACTGATGTCAGCAATGGGACGCTATTCTTCCTGCTAATATCAATGATGGGGCACTATTCCTGCCACTGACACCAATGATGGAGCATCATTCCTCCCAGTGGCACCATCGAAGGGGCACTATCCATCCCACTGATGTCAGAAATGGGGTGCTATTCTTCCTGCTAATATCAATGACGGGGCACTATTCCTGCCACTGACACCAATGATGGAGCACCATTATTCCCAGTGGCATAATCGATGGGACACTATCTATCCCACTGTCAGAAATGGGGTGCCATTCTTCCTGCTAATATCAATGATGGGGCACTATTCCTGCCATGGACACCAATGATGGAGCACCATTCCTCCCAGTGGCACCAACAAAGGGACACCATCCATCCCACTGATGTCAGCAATGAGGCGCTATTCTTCCTGCTAATATCAATGATGGGGCATCATTCCTCCCAGTGGCACCATTGATGGGACACTATCCATCCCCACTGATGTCAGAAATGGAGCGCTATTCTTCCTGTTAATATCAATGATGGGGCAATATTCCTGCCACTAACACCAATGAAGGGGCATCATTCCTCCCAATGACACCACCTTCATTGGAAAGCTCCGGATCGCAAGTAGAGATCGGTGGCTAATGGAAAGCTCCAGATCGCAAGTAGAGATCGGTGTCTAATAGAAAGCTCCGGATCCCAAGTAGAGATCGGTGTCTAATAGAAAGCTCGGATCCCAAGTAGAGATCGGTGGCTAATGGAAAGCTCCCGATCGCAAGTAAAGATCGGTGTCTAATGGAAAGCTCCGGATTGCAAAGATCTCCGGATCCGGATCACAGCAGAGATCGGTGGCTAATGGAAAGCTCCCGATCCCAAGTAGAGATTGGTAGCTAATGGAAAGCTCCCGATAGCAAATAGAGATTGGTGGCTAACGGAAATCTCCGGATAGAAAGTAAAGATCAGTGGCTAATGGAAAGCTCCCGATCGCAAGTAAAGATCAGTGGCTAATGGAAAGCTCCCGATCGCAAGTAGAGATCGGTGACTAATGGAAAGCTCCCGATCGCAAGTAGAGATCGGTGACTAATGGAAAGTTCCCGATCGCAAGCAGAGATCGGTGGCTAATGAAAAGCCACGGATCGCAAGCGGAGATCGGTGGCTAATGGAAAGCTCCGGATCGCAAGCGGAGATCGGTGGCTAATGGAAAGCTCCGGATCGCAAGCGGAGATCGGTGGCTAATGGAAAGCTCCAGATCGCAAGTAGAGATCGGTGGCTAATGGAAAACTCCCGATCCCAAGTAGAGATTGGTGGCTAATGGAAAGCTCCCGAGCCCAAGTAGAGATTGGTGGCTAATGGAAAGCTCCCGATCGCAAGTAAAGATCGGTGTCAAAAGCTCCGGATCGCAAGTAGAGATCGGTGACTAATGGAAAGCTCCCGGATCCCAAGTAGAGATCGGTGGCTAAAGGAAAACTCCCATCCTAAGTAGAGATCGGTGGCTAATGGAAAGCTCCCGATCCCAAATAGAGATCGGTGGCTAATGGAAAGCTCCCGATCCCAAGTAGAGATCGGTGGCTAATGGAAAGCTCCCATCGCAAGTAGAGATCGGTGGCTAATGGAAAGCTCCCCATCGCAAGTAGAGATCGGTGGCTAATGGAAAGCTCCCGATCCAAGTAGAGATCGGTGGCTAATGGAAAGCTCCCGATCGATAATGGAAAATAGAGAGATTGGTGGCTAATGGAAAGCTCCCGGATAGCAAGTAAAGATCAGTGGCTAATGGAAAGCTCCTGATCGCAAGCAGAGATCGGTGGCTAATGGAAAGCTCCGGATCTCAAGCGGAGATCGGTGGCTAATGGAAAGCTCCAGATCGCAAGCAGAGATCGGTGGCTAATGGAAAGCTCCCGATCCCAAGTAGAGATCGGTGGCTAATGGAAAGCTCCCGATCACAAGTAGAGATTGGTGCCTAATGGAAAGCTCCCCATCGCAAGTAGAGATTGGTGGCTAATGGAAAGCTCCCGATCCCAAGCAGAGATCGGTGGCTAATGGAAAGCTCCCCATCGCAAGTAGAGATTGGTGCTAATGGAAAGCTCCCCATCGCAAGTAGAGATCGGTGGGCTAATGGAAAGCTCCCGATCCCAAGTAGAGATCGGTGGCTAATGGAAAGCTCCCGATCACAAATAGAGATTGGTGGCTAACGGAAAATCTCCGGATAGAAAGTAGAGATCGGTGGCTAATGGAAAGCTCCCGATCGCAAGTAGAGATCGGTGACTAATGGAAAGCTCCCGATCGCAAGTAGAGATCGGGGCTAATGAAAAGCTCCCGATCGCAAGCGGAGATCGGTGGCTAATGGAAAGCTCCCGGATCGCAAGCGGAGATCGGTGGCTAATGGAAAGCTCCAGATCACAAGTAGAGATCGGTGGCTAATGGAAAACTCCCGATCCAAGTAGAGATCGGTGGCTAATGGAAAGCTCCCAATCCCAAGTAGAGATTGGTGGCTAATGGAAAGCTCCCAATCCCAAGTAGAGATTGGTGGCTAATGGAAAGCTCCCGATCGCAAGTAGAGATCGGTGGCTAATGGAAAGCTCCCGGATCGCAAGTAGAGATCGTGGACTAATGGAAAGCTCCCGATCACAATTAGAGATCGGTGGCTAATGGAAAACTTCCGATCCTAAGTAGAGATCGGTGGCTAATGGAAAGCTCCCGATCCCAAATAGAGATCGGTGGCTAATGGAAAGCTCCCGATCCCAAGTAGAGATCGGTGGCTAATGGAAAGCTCCCGATCGCAAGTAGAGATCGGTGGCTAATGGAAAGCTCCCGATCCCAAGTAGAGCTCGGTGGCTAATGGAAAGCTCCCGATCCCAAGTAGAGATTGGGTAGCTAATGGAAAGCTCCCGATAGCAAATAGAGATTGGTGGCTAATGGAAATCTCCAGATAGCAAGTAAAGATCAGTGGCTAATGGAAAGCTCCCGATCGCAAGTAGAGATCGGTGGCTAATGGAAATCTCCGGATAGCAAATAAAGATCAGTGGCTAATGGTAAGCTCCCAATCGCAAGTAGAGATCGGTGACTAATGGAAAGCTCCGGATCACAAGTAGAGATCGGTGGCTAATGGAAAGCTCCGGATAGCAAGTAAAGATCAGTGGCTAATGGAAAGCTCCCGATCGCAAGTAGAGATCGGTGGCTAATGGAAATCTCCGGATAGCAAGTAAAGATCAGTGGCTAATGGAAAGCTCCAGATCGCAAGTAGAGATCGGTGACTAATGGAAAGCTCCCGGATCACAAGTAGAGATCGGTGGCTAATGGAAAGCTCCCGAATGCACGTAGAGATCGTTGGCTAATGGAAAGCTCCCGATCCCAAGTAGAGTTTGGTGGTAATGGAAAGCTCCCGATAGCAAGTAGAGAGAGATCGGTGACTAATCGAAAGCTCCCGATCGCAAGCGGAGATCGGTGGCTAATGGAAAGCTCCCGATCCAAAGTAGAGATCGGTGGCTAATGGAAAGCTCCCGATCTCTACTTGCGATCAGGAGCTTTCCGATAATGTGACCCCCTGCGACAGCCAATCACAGCGGTCACATGATAAGAAACCCCACCCTACCTCCTGGCATCAGAAACAAAACAAAGGTTTGGCTAGATGCTTCACATGTTTCAATTATATACTGCATGTTGAAATGTGTTTTTATATATTACAAAGTATATTAAATATATATATATTTTAAATATAGTCTTCAGATTTTTTTTTAAGATATAAAAAGGTAATTTTAACATATATTTGTAAATGCATTCCAAAAATGTAGATTAAATGTATTTTTAAAGACATACAGCATATTTGAAAATTTATTTTGAAAAATATTTTGTAATAAAAATGCATTTCAACATACAGTATGTGTGTAAATAAATATATATATATATATATATATTTATTGAAACATATTTTGAAATATATTGAATATGGCCAAAATTGTAGTATTTCAAATATATGTCAATATATTTGGGAAGAATATTTTTAAAATATATTTTTCTTCCATGTGGGCTGACCCACGACATGTGCGGCGCCTATCAGTAATAGGACATACATGCCACTTACTACTGCGTGTAGCACCGTCACGCCAGCATCCCTTTTTATACCTGTAAAATTAAAAGCCTTAATTTGACTTGAACGCCCCTCATAAAACAAAATGATTGGTATCTGCTTCTGCAGAAAAAAGAGAATTATTGAGAGGTCCTGACATGTACAAGCTCTCATTGCCTTCTTGGAACCCTTTAGATGGTCCAACCAGTGCAGCCGACACTCGAATTAGGGGTGCTGCAGCAAAGACTGGACCATGTACAGGCACTCGGATCACCTGGATAGTCCCTTGAAAACAGCGCTGGGATTATTATTATACAGGATTTATATAGCGCCAACAGTTTGCTCAGCGCTTTACAATATAAGGGAGACAGTACAATTACAATACATTTCAGTACAGAAGGAATAGGAGGGCCCGGACCGTGGAGCTTACAATCTAAAGGAAGGGGGAGGTGATACAAAAGGTGATAGCTGTAGGCGATGATCTGATGGACGTGACTCAACTACAGTTCTTGGGGAGGTGGGGTAGGCTTCCCTGAATAAGTGAGTTTTCAAAGATCGCCTAAAGGCAGACAGGGTGGGGGCTGACTGGACATGCTGTGGTAGAGGAGTTCCAGATGATGGGAGAGGCCCTGGAGAAGTCCTGGAGGCGAGAGTGGGAGGGGGTGATGAGGGAGCTAGAAGAGAAGATATCGTGGGAGGAGCGGAGCGGGTGATTTGGGCGGTATATCTGTGGATGAGGTTGGCGATGTAGCTAGGGGCAGTGTTGTGGATGGCTTTGTAAGCTGTGGTTAGTATTTTGAAGTTTACATGTTGGGTTAGTGGAAGCCAGTGGAGGGATTGGCAGAGAGGGGCAGCAGTCGCTGATCGGGTGGTAAGATGTATGAGTCTAGCAGCAGTCGCTGATCGGTTGGTAAGGTGTATGAGTCTAGCAGCAGCATTCATAATAGACTGAAGGGGGGACAGCCTGTGTAACGTAGACCAGTGAGGAGGGAGTTGCAGTAATCGAGGCAGGGATAAAACCAAGGCGTGGATAAGTTGTTTTGTGGTGTCATTGGTCAGGAAGGGGCGGATTTTGGAAATGTTCCGGAGGTTGAGGCGGCAGGATTTAGCCAGTGATGGATGTGGGGCCCAAAGGAGAGGTCAGAGTCTAGGATTACGCCTAGCACCCTGGCATGAGGGGAAGGACCAATGGTTGTGCTGTTGATCTTAATGGTAAAGCATGAGTGGGGGGGATCGGGGGGAGGTAATATTACAAGCTCAATTTTGGAAAGATTGAGTTTAAGGTAGTGACGTGACATCCATGCTGATATGTAGCTTAGTAGATTTGTGATACGTGAGGAGATTGAGGGGGTGAGCTGGGGAGTGGAGAGACAGATCTGGGTGTCATCAGCATAGAGGTGGTATTGGAAGCCATGGGAGGTTATCAGTTGGCCCAGGGAGGAGGTATAGAGAGAGAAAAGGAGGGGCCCAAGAACAGACCCTTGGGGTACCCCAACGGAAAGTGGAGCGGAGGAGGAGGAGTTGTATGTGACACTGAAATTGCGCTGAGAAAGGTAAGAGAACCAGGAGAGAGCAGAGTCACAGAACGGGATAACAAGATGCATCTCCATACACACACCTACATCTACTGGAAATATTCATCATTACTCACCGCAAAATGGATTTTTTCCAATAGTTAAAACATTTGGCAAAGACATCATAACCAACTGCTGTAAAGATTCCTGAAAAAAAAAAAAAAAAACATTGGATATTATATAATTGACAATAAAGAAGAAAAAAAACACAGAGAAAGTGTACACTTCTAGTAGATAGAATAGTCAATAAGTCAGGCAACTCGCATGTAGAAAGAATAAAACCGGCTCGCCATAAAACCAGGGGTGACCGGACCGCCATATCACACAGGTAATTGCTGGGGCACTCAGGTGACTGCTGGCGTGGACAGAAGCGCTACAGTCTCAAGTTTTAGAAAGGAACGCGCCTGTCCAGTACGTGTTGCAACCCCCTGGTGACGTCACAACGTCCTTCGCGATCCTCGGCCCTCGCCTCTGACAGGCGGGCCGCGATGACGTCACCCCCCCGCACATGCGCGCAGGAGTCTCAGGCCACGGCACAGAGCTCTGAAGGTACGGCACGGGCATGCTGTTCCAGTGCATGCGCCAGCTTTAGGAAAGAGAGATTATCTCTTAAACGTCATTTTACCGACAGCTGAGCTTTATTATAAGCAGACCTGTAGGTTACATTTAAAAATAAAACAAGTTTACAACCACTTTAAAGTGTTACTAAACCCCAACAGTAAATCAGTCTGTATATGCAGTAAAGCATGCTTGTTATACTCGCTGTGGAACCTAAGGGGTTAATCCTCTGCATTGTGTAAAAAGGCCGTTTGATCCTGTCTTCTCTGATCCTCCCCTTCTTCTACTGCCCCCAAACTATCTGCTGGTAGTACAGAGTTTTAGGAAGCACTCTGCACATGTTCAGTTTGGTATTTATTGCTAGAGAGGTTTTTTTCTTTCTTGTGAGAGTGCATATGATCAGCACAGGGCCAATCAGCATTGTTCAGACAGGGTAAGGGGTCCTGCATCTTTCTGGAGCAAAATGAAAACTCCTACGAGATTAACCAGTGCTCTGCTGGACACTGATATAACTATGTCACAAGACTGCTCTAACTTCTGATGAGAAAAGGTAATTAGCACTTTATATTTACTAAAATAATTGCATTTCCATGTGTGTACTGTGGGAGACCGGATATAGTGAATGCAGGGTACCGGGGAGACCGGATATAGTGAATGTAGAGTCCGGGGAGAGCGGATATAGTGAATGCAGGGTCCGGGGAGACCGGATATAGTGAATGCAGGGTCCGGGGAGACCAGATATAGTGAATGCAGGGTCCGGGGAGACCGGATATAGTGAATGCAGGGTCCGGGGAGACCGGATATAGTGAATGCAGGGTCCGGGGAGACCGGATATAGTGAATGCAGGGTCCTGGGGAGACCAGATATAGTGAATGCAGGGTCCGGGGAGACCGGATATAGTGAATGCAGGGTCTGGGGAGACCGGATATAGTGAATGCAGGGTCCGAGGAAACCAGATATAGTGAATGCAGGGTCCGGGGAAACCAGATATAGTGAATGCAGGGTCCGGGGAGACCAGATATAGTGAATGCAGGGTCCAAGGAGACCGATATAGTGAATGCAGGGTCCGGGGAAGGATATAGTGAATGCAGGGTCCGGGGAGACCGGATATAGTGAATGCAGGGTCCGAGGAGACCGGATATAGTGAATGCAGGGTCCGAGGAGACCGGATATAGTGAATGCAGGGTCCGGGAGACCGGATATAGTGAATGCAGGGTCCGGGGAGACCGGATATAGTGAATGCAGGGTCCGGGGAGACCGGATATAGTGAATGCGGGGTCCGGGGAGACCGGATATAGTGAATGCGGGGTCCGAGGAGACCAGATATAGTGAATGCAGGGCCCGGGGAGACCGGATATAGTGAATGCAGGGTCCGGGGAGACCGGATATAGTGAATGCAGGGTCCGGGGAGACCAGATATATAGTGAATGCAGGGTCCGGGGAGAGACCAGATATAGTGAATGCAGGGTCCGAGGAGACCAGATATAGTGAATGCGGGTCCGGGGAGACCAGATATAGTGAATGCGGGGTCGGGGAGACCAGATATAGTGAATGCGGGGTCCGGGGAGACCAGATATAGTGAATGCAGGGTCCGGGGAGACCAGATATAGTGAGACCAGGGTCCGGGTTTAGTAACACTTTAACAAATATCTCATAATGCAATACAAATATGCCAAAAAAAGCATATATGTCATTCGCCCAAAAACCCCAAATCCTTCATGTCTTCATGGCAGAGCTGCAATTATAAACTCTCCTCTGAGAAATGATGGGGCTTCCAGCCTTGGCACGCCTTTACGGCCCATTTCCATTATTCGGGTTTGCCAATGTTTGATTACAATGGCACAGACTTCCCTTTGCTCTCTTTCTGTACAGTTTGGTTTGTTTCCAATGGACAGCTTCCATCTGTGCTTTAGCAAAATGTCGCCTGCAGCTTTTTTCATCCATTTTTTAGAATGCGTACATGTTTTTCAATGGCCCAGCATGAAAAAAATGCATGTAACTGAAAGTACAACTAATGCAGCAGTGACAAGGAGCCCTTAAAGCGGTATTAAACCCAAAATCAAAAATGTAATATATTGCAGCTTACCAATCAATAGATGTGGTGGCTGCATTAGTTTTCTTTTTTCTTTTAGTTTTTTCCCCTCTGTTTTTACCTGGTGATCTGGCCAGTAAAACACCTCCTGTATTAGCGCCACCACTCTGGATCAAGGAGCACAGGGGGCACCTTTGGACAGCGGCATTGTCAGTCTGGGGAAGGGGAGAGTACTAGATGTACTAACAGTAACAAATACACTAACACAGGGCTTAAAATTTCAAGTCCTGAGCTACTAGCCAGGCCTTAGAGTTACTCACCACCAAAAACACACATAGAGACACCTGTACACACACACAGACATGTACACACACACACAGACATGTACACACACACAGACATGTACACACACACAGACATGTACACACACACGCACAGAGACACATGTATACACACACAGGCACGTACATACACGCAAACACATGTACAGATACACACATGTACATACACACAGACACATGTACAATTGTACATGCATACACACACACACAAATGTACACCCCCCCCCCCCATAAAAAGTTGCAGTACTTCGTTGTTCACTCACAGAGCCGGGTACTGCACTCTAGGGGGAGGCAGAGAGCACAGCACACACTCCTTGCTTTGCTTTCACTTAGCTATTGAGCAGTCTGACGGCTCCCAGTGCCAATGACAGATCCGGCCTGAGCTCCGAGTCTGCTCAGCAAGACGGCCCTGGGGACACACTCGCTCCCACCATAATTTCCACTCGCCATTGGCGAGCAGGCAAGTGGAAATTTCAAGCCCCGCACTAACACATCTAAGCCCCATTCACACCTGAGCGTAGTGTTTTAGTGCGTTCCTTCGCGCATTTTTATGCATGTTTGCGAATGTTTGTGAGCGATATGTTCAGGCTTTTTTTTTTAATTTTAGCATTTTTGGATTAGCCAATAGAAAAAATAATTAAAATCAGTGAAATCAATTGTTGCCATGTTTTGCCATGCCAGAAAAACGTTCTTGGTCATGAGACAAAACACACTAAAGAGCATGAAAACGTGCAATTAGCATGCTTCAATGAATATCTATGGGAATAAAAACGCACCAAAAATGCATTAATCTGCCCAATTTGAGCTACAAAAGTAACTCCAAAACTTTTTTGAGCTTCAGGAGACATGGAGTGGAGATGTCAACCAACTCCATAGAGTAATATTGATTTTTTTCTCCCTGAGCGTTTTGGAGCCTCAGGTGTGAATGGGGCCTAAGGATTGGTAATCTGTAATATAATGAATGTTTTCTTTTGGGTTTAACCGCTTCCCCTCCGCCCTATAACAGATATACTGCTACAGGGTGGCAGGGGTGACCAAAATCACATATATATTTATATACACGTGATTTCGCATTTCAGGGCAGGGGCTATTCTCGGCATCGGCTGTCAATCACCAGGTCCTGGCCGGTGATTACTTGCTGGCACTCGGTGATCGCCGAGTATTACCAACTGAGGGAGAGAATTGTATGTGTGCAATACAGATCTTTCCCCTGTCAGCTCCAGCACACTGCTTTGTATGGACACACAGCCCACAGTAAAACAGCACACAGTTAACCCTTTGATCGCCCCACATGTTAACCCCTTCCTGCCCAGTGCCATTAGTACAGTGTCAGTGCTTTTTATTAGCACTGATCACTGTATTGATGTCACTGGGGATGGCAGTGACACCAAGTCAGTTCCCCCCCCCCAGTGTCAGAATGCCCACTGCAGTCCCGCCATTTTTAAATACTATAACTTTCACGTAAACCAATTAATTTACACGTATTGGGAACTATAGAGGCAATCATCACCAAAAGAAAGCTCCATTTGTGGGGAAAAAAGGACGTAAATTTCATTTGGGTGCAGCGTTTCATGACCGCGCAATTGTCAGTTAAAGTAACGCAGCTCCGTATTGCAAAAATGGCCTGGTCAGGAAAGGGGGGGGGGGGTAAATCCTCTGGAGGGCAAGGGGCTAATACTGCTTTAGGCCCCATGCACTTTGGGCATTTTAAAAATGCCAGTAGCGTTAGCTGTATAAAGTTGCATTAAAAACGCATGCGCTTCCGTGGTTTTTAGCGCTTTTGCATTAGCATTTAGCCATGTTAGCATTTTTTAGCACAAAAAAAAGGGAAACCATTAATTGAATGAATTCACTAACACATGATAGAGAGTTAGGACCAGGGGCGGACTGACAACTCATGGGGCCCCCGGGAAATAGGGGAGCATGTGGCCCCTGTGTTCTTGCCAAAACTCAAAAAAGCCTATGAAAAAGGTACCAGGGGCATCTCATGGGGCCCCCTACTGACCCCGGGCCCTCGGGCAGTGCCCGAGTTTCCAAATGGTCAGTCCGCCCCTGGGTACAGCTGCTTTCACACTGATACAATTTTTTTTTCCTTTTACGTAAAAAAAAGAAAAGAAAAAGCAGAAGAAAAATATGTGACCATGTATTCCTATGGAACTGTTGACATCGATCCGTTGTGGGTCCGCTGCATTTTTTTAAAATTCTGTTCGCTGAAT